TTTTTATTTTTGCTTTTCACCAGAAGGAGAAGAGAAGGAAAAAGAAGTGGCCCATGAGAAGCCTTCGGCCTGACCAATCAGCCCTGACTTTAAACTGAATATGATAACCAGCAAGGGATTGTTTCCCTTATTGATTATTGCATGACAGCTGACACCATTTCTAGCAGTCGATCTGGTCAAAGAGCACGAAGATTGTTCCACTTCCACTACAGCTAGTGGACAGGTCTCCCTGGCTGCCAGATTCAGATTGAAGCCATAGTTCTCTCTTTCTATTCTATACATCAAGTTTAATCCCCACCACACACTCTGCCTTATGAGTATGATGGGATAGTTATTATCATGATTAAGTCATATTTCATGAGAGTTTTCTTTAAGAAGGGGAAATTATCTTTGGTGGCTGATGTAATCATGTGAGCCCTTAGATAGAGCTGAACTGGGGGGACTCAAGGGAGAATCTCCACTGATGCCTTTAAAGACAACTAGGTCACTAGGAGCAGAAAGAAGAAACAAGAAAACAAAGATTTCAGTTTCTCCAGTACAAAAAAACTAGATTCTACCAACATGCTAAATCATCCTTTGAAGTGGATTCCTTTCTAAATCCTACAGATGATAGCTTAGAGAGTCAGGAAGTGAGCAGAGAACCAGTTGGCTATGCCTGTATTCGGAACTATTAAACAAAGAACAAGCACCGCCCACTTGTTTCCTGCCTTGCAGTTTGCGGTACTTTATTCTACAGACACAGAAAGCGAACAGAGGAACGCAATGGCATCCCAGGTGAGCGTGGCGGGATTTTTATTTTATTTAATTTATTTATTTATTTATTTATTTATTTTTGGTTTTTTCAAGACAGGGTTTCTCTGTGGCTTTGGAGCCTGTCCTGGAACTAGCTCTTGTAAACCAGGCTGGTCTCGAACTCACAGAGATCTGCCTGCCTCTGCCTCCCGAGTGCTGGGATTAAAGGTGTGCGCCACCACCGCCCGGCATGGCTGGATTTTTAAAAGAGAAGTTCACTCAGCCTTCCTCTACAGCTTCACTTGGCATCCCCACCATGAAGTCCTTTCACTGAATGGAACCAGAAAATGCAATTTTGTCAGATTAAAATATTTCCTCTTATCACTTAGAATTATCTTTCTTTCCTCCCTTACTGCATTTGAGATGCAGAGATGTATGGATCTTGGCTAAGGTAGACACATGTTTGAGCTGGAGAATCAAATAAAAAAAAATACAGATTTCAAGAATTAAGGAAAACACTCTGTATATTTTGAAGTAACTCAAATATGTTCCATTCATTGCATCTAGCTGTCTGGAAACAAGTAACCTTGACATAACAGCCAAAGGAAAAGGAAAAGCTGTGTGAACATAAATGCCCAAATGCGTTCATATCTTTTATCAATAAACACTACTAGAATGTAATGCATTTGAATTCGCATTTTTCCTGTTGGAACCCAGCATCCTTTCTTCTGCTTCCTGATCCCGCAGCTGGATCTCATTACCAGAGCAGGGTGTACCGTGAGAAGCATGTCGAAACTTCAGACTACAAAAGAGGATTGCCATTTGTGAATTGATTGTCTAGGTTATGCAGGTTGGCCACTGTATGTTGTACAATGTGGTGAGAACTATATGCTTGTGAACACTACTATATGCTAAATATCCACCTAGGATATTTAGTTAAACCTCTTTTGCTTATTGTCTAAAAGAGAAAGGAATTGATGTGGGGTCGAAAAACATCAGCTTGGAGCTTTGTGGTTGAGGGTGTGGAGATTGCTCTAGAGAAAACGTAACTCTAGGATGTCTCATGGTTAATAATGCTGTCCCCAGAAGAGCTTAATGGTGTTCTTACACTATGCAAGTGAGTGAAAATATTGGAAGGCAAAGATTCACATGCAAACCTCACCATTTAAAACCCATATTTTCTGCCTTTGGGAAAAGATGGAGTTGGATTAAATCTTAAAATTAGACTTAAGCAAATGTGAAAAAAAGGTTTTAGAAAGCAGGGTATGTATATGATCACAACTGTGAGCAGAATCAGGACAAACCTTTTCATAAAAAGCAAGGACAATGAACAAGAATTTTCAAAGCTTCAGAATCTGGTGATCCAGGTGACCCAGCGTTACCCAGTGTCTTTCCGTACTAGAGCCAATGCTAAGGAAAAGCTATTACTAAGCATATCTTTATGGGCTTCAGCTTCTCAGACCTCTATCTTTTCTTTGTGTGTAATTATGCAGAGGGAAAATACTACATGCTCAGATGAAATGAAGGACTTCAGCTTATGCCCACAGGACCTTGTCAAGTAGCCAATGACTTGCCCTTTCATTGTGAGTGACTAATATCAATGTTGCTCTAAAGAAAGACACTTTTCATAATCACCCAACAATCCGCTAAGTGAAAACATGTGCACAGGCTTAGGCGCAGCCTGCCAGGGGTCTCTACTGAATGGGAAACAGGTGCTCACATTCTGTGCCACGTAATACCCCATTTACTCCAAGTCCAAAGGTTACAGGACTAATAGCTGCCTTGCGGCAAGCAGCGAACACAAGACATTGGTCCCGGTGGAACATCTGGGACATATTTTACATACTTGCAACATATGCTTCAGGTTCAATTAAAGTGAGGCTTTGGCACATTTATTAATCTTCTTTACTTTTATCCTATAAGAGGACCCATTGACCTGACCCCACTACTATACCATATGAGAAAACAGAGACAATGAGAGCTGGAGGTCAGTACCTGTTTGTGTGGAAAAAAACACATTTATGTTTTCATGAAATTCCATTATGCATACAAACTTTAAATGGAGCAACCAATGAAAATTTTAAAACAGGAAATAACTCTTCTCTCATTCAGACACATGGACAGCTAAGACTTACAACGTGTGCTCTGTGAGAGCCAAGTCAATGGAGAAGCTAGTGAGCGGATGCCTGGAGGATCCTCCCTTATTTTCACTTTTCCACTAAGAGAGCTTCAAAGTCTCTTGCTACACTTCAGACTTTCTTTTAGGTTCAGACACCATTTTCCTACTATCAGTTTCACTATGCTCGATATATAAGGACCTCACCCTTCTGTATCACTCAAAGGACTGGCTGATGAAGAGCAGCCCACTGTGAAAGCACGCTACTGCCTCTCTCAGCTACAAACAACTCCAGTTGAATTCATACAGTGACTGGAGCCCTCCCTTTCTTTGGTAACTGATCTGAAAATCTGTTAGAAGTAGGGTGTCAATTTCAGAGAGCCAATCACTAGCTCATTATGTATATATACAGCTCCTGGGAGTTGGTATTGCCATCCAGATGTGCTCAATCAACATCTGTGTTTTGGTCAGTTGGTTACCCACGGATGCCTATTTGTTGCCTATACATAAGATCTTCTCTATTTAAAAAAAATGAAGAAGAAAGGGAGAGACACACACAATACCAAGAAACTAGTTAAAAATGTATGGGCTGACTTGCTGCAGAGAGACATAGAAGTAGTCGACTTCACTGGAGTTCCTATTCATTAGCATTTCCAGGGAAACGCCTGCTGCTGGGATGGGTCTTTATGGTGCCTTTAATACTAAAGCAGCAACAAGCAAGAAGAGCCATAAGTGGACAGCCGCTCAGTCTTTAGCACAGGGAAGTGCTGATTCAGAGCTGGAATGTTAAGTGAAAGTACAGCCTCTCCACAGCTCTACAACTGACCTTAACAATAAATCAGACATTTACTGCCAGGGGTGTATGCTCATATTATTTAACTAAAGAGAGAGAGAGAGAGAGAGAGAGAGAGAGAGAGAGAGAGAGAGAGAGGTGTGTGTGTGTGTGTGTGTGTAGATAAGAGATTTCGTTAGGTTATTTTCATCAGGATACTAATGACTGTATGAGGTACAGGAGAGGAATTCCACATAAAAGCTCTATCAATTAAAAGCATTTGGAGCAGCATGAGAGGAAAGCGGGCAAGAAGCATGTGTGTTTGCATTCGACTGAAAACATCAAATATTAGTCAGGAAACAAAGATTGTGAGGTAAAGTATTCAGTGTGACCTTTTCCCCCTTTGACATTTCAAATGCTCTCTTCCAACACAAACTCCTGTACTGGGGTTTAACTGTGCATCTCTCCTGGAGTGGAAGGTCAAGGGCATAAATTGAGATGCTCTGTTTCCTTCCTTCAAAAACACCATGGCTTCCTCTAACAGTGGCGAGTTTTGGGTGGAGATCAAAATCTGTATGCTAAATAATGTGCATGTAATTAATATTTTCCTCCTTGTCTCATGTTTAGAAAAGGTAACTTAATATCTAAAATTGATCAGAGATCACAGTGCCAGAGAGTTTCTATTCTGCTTTCTGGAGAGAGCTGTTGTCCTAATCCCAGCCACCTCTGTGGTGGTACAAGGTCCCCAAGAAACCACCAATGCAAATAAGCCAGAAATTCACTGCTGTTTATCGTGGTCACCATCACCAAGCCAACTAGCAAAAGAATTGCAAGTCAGTCTCTCCAAAGGTCTTTCGTGATGGAGGAGGCATGGGGACATTATAAGTCTAGGCAACGGCAGCGAGCACAGAGTCATTTAAATGCCCTCCCAAGCACGTCATACACACATTCTTTTGCTGAGCAATTCTTTGAAAATTATAGATGACATTATCCGTGTCCAATTCATGCAGGATCCTATTTTTTCATGCCTGCCTCCTTCCCCCAAAGCAGAGACTGATTTGTAACACTCAAGATAGGACAATTTTTGCCCTTCAGAAACAGTTGTCAGTGCTATTATCTTCACAATAGCTATCGAGTTCCAGACAAACTGATTTTTTTTTTTTCTGGCAGAAGAATATTTGACCCAGCTCTGGACAAAAGCACAGAGGATTTATAGCCATTTCTTCCTCTTTGCAACACGCAGCGGCATTGTTAGGATGATAAACAGCACTGTCCAATTTTCTGGACTCAAACCCTTCAACTCCTTTTTCAACTGTCTGTAAAAACAGTGTCATGTCTGCATCTCCCACACCCAGTACCCAGGGCTGGGAAGATAATTACCTTGTCATCTTTGTCGTCTTCCTCCTCTTCGTCCTCTAGCATGTCCTCCACTACCTGCAGACAGAAACACAGGTTGTTCTCATGCTCTTAGAGGAAAAAAATTTGTTCTGTCATTTTGAACCCTTTGGAAATGAAAACTTTATTAATATTTGAGACACATGCTCTGAGTGCAGAAGTTTCATCCAGAGCTGAGGATTAGGAAAGTGCTCAGCCTTTAATTGATTAAAGTCGGGGACCAGAAACTCAGTCAGGAGAAGCCCATTTATGTGAAGTGTTTGGTGTCAAGGAATCTGCAGTACACAGAAGGTAAACGAACGTGCTGCTCAACATCATGAAATTTCCTTCTTAGCGCTTCTGCTGCCTGCCTGTCTCAGTCAGGCATCGCAGACGTGAACTGGATAACGAGGCATGAAGAACCCTTCTATTTCTTCTAATTTCTGTTTTGCCCAACTATAAGATAAAAACTGTCTCTGCTAGTTGATTCACACTGGTGGCCTGTGGCATAAAATTAACTATGAATATATTTAATGGCTCAAATTTTAATTCTGATGTATAAAATCAACTCTTGATTGATTTGCTCTGAGTCCTACTTCCTGATTTTGTGGGTTACCTAAAATATTTCCTTGTGATTTTTTGTAAGAACCATTCATACATATTAAGATTAAAAATATATTCCATAATTAAACATAATTAATAAATATAAATTACATTGTCAAATATGGACACTTTAATTTTTTTTTTTCAAGACAGGGTTTTTCTGTAGCTTTGGAGCCTGTCCTGGAACTAGCTCTTGTAGACCAGGCTGGTCTCAAACTCAAAAATGGGAAGCGGTTGTGGGGACGAGGCAGAAATCCTTAATAAATTAATAAATTTAAAAAATAAAAAATAAAAAAAAAATAAAAAAATAAAATAAAAAAAAAAAGATCCACCTATCTCTGCCTCCTGAATGCTGGGATTAAAGGCGTGCGCCACCATCACCCGGCCTAAAAATTATTTTTATTTTATTTTTTTGTGTGTGAGTGTTTAGCCTCCATTTATATTTATCCACCATGTGCATGCCTGCTGCCTTTCGAAGCCAGAAGCAGGTGTCATATTCCTTGGACTGGAGTTGCAGATGGTTGTGAGCTGTTGTGTAGATGCTATGGAACTGTCCTGGATCCTCTGGAAGAACAGCCAGTGCTCTTGCCATCTGAGCCATATCTCCAGCCCCAATATACATATTTTTTAATGGAAAAGTTATTTTGTATTTGACAAAAAAAATTATTTCCTTTGGTCAATGTGATTTGAGGACAGTAAATGCAGCTTCCTGAGGGCCAACAGGGAGTTTGAGGGTTGTCAGGTTACATAGTAACTTCCTGGCCAGCTTGGGTTACAGCATGAGTCTCTGCTTAAACAAACAAACAAACTAGAATTTCATATTTTAAATAAATGTTTTCCCACAATAACATGCACATGTGTGTGCACTCTGTGTAGAAATTGAAAATAGGAAACTCCTGGGAGGTGTTTCCAGGTAAACCTCAGAGGACTATAGTTACATAGGAAGGAAATTCTGCGTAATCTGTAATTCACATGCTGCTTCTTCTAATATAGTTTGAATGTCTCAAAATAGAACTGGCTGAAACAAAATTATCAAGTACTTTGGAACTTTTCTCAGCAAACTTTTGATGATGACGATACCAAATCCTTTTGTGTGACTTTTTGATACAAAACAAAATTAAGACTATACCGCCACGGAATTGTATAACCAGAGATACTGTGCAGGAATTCCCAGGTATTTCCTCTCAAGTCTTCTAAAAGCCTTGTATGACTTCAGCAAATAACTTAAACACAAATTTCCAGTTCTCAAGAACCAATGAATAACCAAAGACATCTGAAAATCCCATAACTCTTCCTAATAATGCCATATTCTACATCTTTGTTAAAAAGTAGGACTTCCTGTAGAATAGTGACCCTCAGAAGGGCCCCAGCCAGACAGTATATTGTGTTGAGAAGGTCTATCACCTCGGGGACATGCAAGTGACCCTGTCTCACAATCTGCACTTATTATACTCTCCACCGTATTCACACTGCTCATAAGTATTTGTTCTAAATCCCTTGTCCAGGGTGTACAGTAAAGTTAAGATCTGAACAGAAAGAGGGGCAAACGCACTGAGACTCCATCAACATGCACACTAACCTGTGGAACTTAAGGAGGACCTAGCAGATAAGCCTTCATGAAGACTTTTAGTTTCTTTCTTGTTTAAAGCATTTACAATATAAATATTTTCCATATTTATATGTCAAGGTGACAGTTGTGGTGATGGATGATAAGACATTCAAATCAAATTACTTGTGATGGAGATTAGATTTCATCAAGAGAAGTCAGAGAACCCTCATGAGATTGTTTTTAAATGACTTTATGCCACAAATAAAAAATAAAATTATCTTACAAAAATTTATATTTAAATAAAAGACTTTTCTTTTGTTTTTTTTTCTTTCTGCTAAAGTTGGTCATCAAAAGTCATATTGAATACAAGAAGAAAAAAGCTCAAACAATGCTGAAGCTAGTTATAATTAAAATGTGTTATTGTAGGGTAACACAGCTTCCCAGAGTGAAACAAATGCAACAAGGAAGAACGCGACACATCTTTGCATCATTAAAATCAATGTTCCACAGCACAAACATCTTAAAATAATATTCCACAATGGCATCCTATCTCATCACAGCTCACTTCTGGAAGGCCAACGTGACAGATTATGTTCTGAATATTGCAAACAACATAGTAGTGGTTCAAGAAATATTTTTAGTCGGATAATAGATAAATAAATCATCTGGCCGTCATATCCTTGTGTTTGTTTTTGTGTTTGTAGTGTCACCTTTCCTGCCTCAGTTTATCAAGTACTGGAACTCCAGACTCATCACTGTGCCTAGCTCTGTAATGTTTCCATAAGCCCTATGGTATAGCATCTACCTTTTTTTCACAGAGCTGACCTAGCTCACTTGGAAAGACAAATATAACCAGTGACGCAGATGAATAAAGGCAAATGATCAATTTTTTTTCAGAGTGGCTTGGAGACAGTACCATCTGCATCTAGTCATTAAGATCCAGAGATCATTACTATCAAATTAATTTTCAAAACTTCGAAATATGAAAAATAAACCACTAGGATAATTTACATATTTTACAAATGATATTGTGCTCAGTATGACTCAAGGAAGTCTACAGAATCAGGCTCTTTCGCAAAACCCAAACTGTTATTGCCCTGCCCGAGTGGGTAATTGGCTCCATGCAATCACTCTGCAAATGTGTAGCCAGAACCCCCAACACAAGCATTTGCTTCCCATTTGGCAGAAGAGAGTTGTGTTGTGTGCTACTAAGGGCTCCTCTCCTCTGTTGTCTTCGACTGCCACATCACAGGTTTTATAAGACAGCTGATGGTTTCCTGTTGATTTGTATACATAACTCCTGGCTGTACCCCACCAGAACATGTTGTTCAGGTGAAGCTTAAAATTCTTTGAAAATCTTGACCGCCACAGCCTGTCTGACAGTGCTGCTTAAGGACCCAGTGAGGTTATGTAGGCAGTCTCAGCCCACTTGCTATATCAAAACAAGTACCCAAAAGTGCCCCAAGAAACACAAATCGGGGCATAGTATAAGTATTGAGGATTGCAGCTTGGAGTCCTGATGGATTCACCCCTAATCTGCGGGCATTAGTGACTTGGTGGATGCACAGCTCTGATGTAGTTTCTATGCTGAGCTGTGCTTTCCGACACAGCCCAGGCAATGCAATGAGCACAGAATCCACAAGATGCGTTCAAAACAATAAGCTCTGTACCACTGAAGTCCATTTAATGACTGCACAAAGTCTCAGCCTTCCCACATAACTCGAACAACAACCTGCTATTCAAAGGGAGTGCTGGAGCTTTTACACGTAACTAAGGAAAAAAGTAGAAAACAAGAGTCCTAGCCTCAAATTCCAGGTTTTCCTCCTCAAATAAAACCCAATAAGTGCTGCATAGTTCTAAGTACTCATAAATCAGTAGCCCCAAATTTGTAAGCATTAGCTTTATCGCTTTGTCACACCACACCACACATGCATGGGGGCCAAGACGAGGGGGGAGAGAATGTCCATACCACACCACACACGCACACACGGGGGCAGAGAGGAGAGGGGAGAGACTGTCCACACCACACATGGGGCAGAGAGAAGGAGGGGGGAGAGACTTTCCACACCGCACCACACCACACATGGGGGCAGAGAAGAGAGAGACTGTCCACACCATACCACACACACACACACACACACACACACACACACACACACACACACGGGGGCAGGGGGGATCGAGAGACTGTCCACACCACACAACACATGGGGCAGAGAGAGAGAGTGGGGGAGAAAGAGACTATTTCAAACATTTCCTTGTCCTTTAGCGAAAAAAGGAAAAAGACTGAGAAGAGATGCATTTGTTAGAAAAGATACACATGCTGAGTTGGATTTCCCCCCACTTTCCTAATAGGGGTTCTCTAAGATAAGGTCCAGAATTCTTTTTCCAGATTATGCTTTCTGATACGTTGCTCGAAAGCAAGTAATATTAATCAAACAAAAGCAGGGCACCAGGGAAATCAGAAAGACGTAGCACATGCAGTTAAAAGCGACACGACCCTCTGTGATGTCGCTTGTCACAGACTTCTATGCCACATGCGGGAGGAAGGTCTGGAGGAAAACTGATTCTGGGTACTCTTCCTTGACTGTGATACTAATAGAGATGACATTTTAAAACCACACAGTCAGCCCTGGAACAGTGTGCCAGTCACATCACAGCCAAAGAACAAGCAGATAGCATTATTCAAGAGGATAATATTTCTTCTTCCATATTCACTATTTCCTGAAAATTTGTCATTAGCATATAAAATTTAATATGTACATTTTAAAACTCCCTTTTCAAAGTAAAGCCAAGCTGTATCTACAGAATCTATATATCTTAAGCAGGTGAAAGGGAATTCTTTAAATAATTGGAGACTTTTTGTTGTATCCAGTGCAGGGGGATATGTAATAAATTGCAAAAATTC